AAAAAAAAAGATTACAAATGGATCCACCATATGACTCAGAAAGCCCACTCCCACTCCTAAATTCCTACCTAAATAATACAAAAACACTAATTTAAATGGAAACTTGCAACACTATTTATAATAGCTAAACTATGAAAACAACCTAAGTGCCCCAAACAGATGAATGGATCAGGAAGATCTACATACTCATACAACACACACCACATAGTAGACAAATATTGGATGGTATCACATGGAATATAGAGAAACCAAATAAAGGACCAGATAAAAACCAAACGAAGAGGTAAACCTAGACACCAGCTATAGGGCTGAGCCTGGCAGAGTGGTACGGGCAAGAACAAGGTGGGGAGGTGGACAGTGGACAATGGTGGTGGACTACGGGTGTCTTGGTAACAACGCCTGAGGTGGAAGAACCTATACTTCCAATAAGCAATCATGTAAACCAATACTACCTCATTAAAAACGAAAGAAAAACAGGGTTCCTGCCCTTGAGGAGTCCAGTCTAAACTGGAAGATCGACCCTAAATTCACGCCAGCATGAACTGTGAGGGGAGATGTAATTAGTTATCTCAGGCTGCCAGAACAAGATTCCATAGACTGGGTGGCTTACATAGCAGCAGTCTGTCTTCTCACAATTTTAGAAGTCCCGGCTCAAGACTCAGCAGGGCTTGGTTTTGAAGACTTCTTCCTGCCTTGGAGTTGGCTACTCTCTTGCTATTTCCTCTCACGGCCCTTCCTCTGAGCATGTTGGGGGTTAGGGGCTGCGGACTAGGAGAGGGGGAAACTCAACGGTGTCTGTTCTGATATGGTCATTAATCCTATCAGGTCAGGATCCCACCCTAATGACCTCGTTTTACTTTAATTTCTTCCTAAAAGCCCTATTTTAATATGCTTTCACATTGTATTTGTTCGTGCAGCGTGTAGGTTTGGGGTGTGAAGGGACTGACTTAGGGGAACTCTTAGCAGCACAGATGAGGGAATGAGCGTCCCCCATAGGGATGTATGAGACAGGCTCAACAACACTCAGTCTGAATTCTGAGTATGTGTGTTTGGTCATTAGCTTGAAGGTCCTGGTGAAGCAGCAGGTACTGATCATCCCATGTCCAATGGGGAGGTCTCTACCTCACAAGCCTTTGTCATTACATGTCTCGCTCAGCCACGTTTTTTTCCAGTCACGTGCCCTCATGCCTTTGATATTAGATTTACATTTGAGGACAGCTTTTCTTGATGGCAGGCTGCGACATAGCTTTTCTGAATACTATCCAGCTGTCACTCAACACTCATCACAGAAATCTGTGCGCTTCCTGCAAAGGCGGTCAATTCAACAGTCAGAGTCAGAAGGGAACAGTTATTCTACTTGAGATGGCTCCAGAATTAAGCAGAATTTCTCCTGCAGGGACGTGCTGTGGAATGACTCACAGGCTTGCTCTGGTCCTGTGTTTCTGCCCTGACAGCCTGTCTTTTGCAGGTGGGGGTCCCAAGGATTAGGGGGTGGGGACTAGGAGAGAGCCTGTCTCATACATCCCTGTCTCATACATCCCTCATCTGTGCTGCTAAGAGTTCCCACAAGTCAGTTCCCTCACACCCCAAACTTACACGCTGCACGAACAAATACAATGTGAAAGCATATTAAAATAGGGCTTTTAGGAAGAAATTAAAGTAAAATGAGGTCGTTAGGGTGGGGTCCTGACCTGATAGGATTAATGCCCATATTAGAACAGACACCGTTGAGTTTCCCCCTCTCCTAGTTCCCACCCCCTAACCCCCACACTGGCGACACTGGCGGGGTCCCAGGCTCTGAGCAGACAGTGCTGCATTGTCCTCATTGACAGAATTGTGTTGAGGGTCCCGACCTGTGGAGTACCTATTTTCGAAGAAGGAAATGTCCCAGAAGTTTTAAGAAAATTAACCACTCCTCACTTCATACTTTTTGACATTGGGTCCATATTCTCTTCTAGCTTCTGACCTTTGGGTCCTGATTGAGGCTTCCCAAGTCCGAACGATGAGTTTCCTTAAAGTAGGGAGTGAGTTACCTTTACTTCTCTCCTGAACTTCTCTCCTTTGGTGATGATCAGAGTATGCTGGTCATGATCATTTTGGGATTGGCTACTATCATGTGTTAAAAGCTAGCAAATTCACTCTCTAAAATGCACCATCCTAGTTCCTGGATGTTCTGCCTTTGGTATAAATTGCAGCATGGCCAAAGCACGATCTTAATCGATGGCCCTTATGAGCTGCCACTCAGGGATATGTGGGCAAGGCTTTGGGTAGGGAGGATGCTCACAGGGTTTACTTCAATGGGTTGTTTTCTCATCTGCAGGACCAATGGTTCCGACTTTAGAAACAGTCAAGGAAAATGCAGAGATATTGGCTCAAGTGAATACCTCCTTCTTTTCTATGATCACCCTCGTGGAGATGTTGGTTTTCTGTTGCTTCAACAGGTGGTCTGGACATACACCCCCCTGCAGGTTTGGGGGTACTGACAGTGCTGGAAGCAGCCTTGCTTCCTCATTTTGCCCTTTCCCCTTCCCCGCGAAGACGCTTTAGAGAGGACTTGTGAGACAAACTATGGGTTTTCAAGGTAGCGGGAAAGCTGCTCAGCCGCTCTCTCCCATGCTTTTCAGTCTCTGTGCCTGCACTGGCCGAGGAGGGTGCAGGGTCTGTCTCAGCTGTTCCCAGAGGCAGGCGTCCCCCAGTGATCACAGCCGCTGCCCTGCAGACTTGGGCTCTTCCTGTATCCTTCCTCCCTCACAACGCTCACATCCATCTCTTCTCCTTTCATTACTGTCATCTGAGCATCATTCAAAAACATTCTGCCCATCTATGAATTATTCCCAGACTCTTCACTCGGGGCAGTGTTACAAGTCCTCTGCTGGCGGGAGGGAGCAATCCAACAAAATCTGAAGACCCAGGACTTTGAGAAGCTGTGATGAGCAGACTAGGAAGCACAAAACATTGTGAGATGAATGGAACTCAATAATAAGCTTTTAGAGGTGATTTAGCCAGGTCTGGCAGAGGAAGCTAAGAAAAAGACAGCAAGCATTGTAGTGTAAATCACTGCAAACCCACAGGGTGTGCCTGCCCTAGGAAGCTAATGATCTCTTCAGGAACAAACTGACTGCAGTTATCCAGAAAGAGAACATGATGTAGAAGGGGAAGACAGACCCCCAGATGTGAGTATGATCTCTCTTCAACACAGGGTTTGTAGCAATAGGAGCAAAGCCAGTTAATGTAACTGAAGGTTCTCCCTAAACATGGGTGCTGTGGACTGTCCCTGGGTGGTTTGTGCGTAATGTCTGACTAGGATGTTGTTTGCTTGTCTCTTGTAGAATATTTTGCCTGCAAGGAGGCTGAATGTTTTGGAATATTTGTATTACCCAGAGAATTTGCTGTAACCGCCCCCCCCCCCAAAACGGCAGACGCAAATCCCTTAGACCTTTGGCTATAAAGAGGAAACCAATTGCATCACAGACCTAGCAACTCTGACATTTGTGATGCAAGACAATAGAATTGGCAAATTGGAGAGCCATAAAAATAGGGCCGTGGGCTGGGAGGAAAGAGGCAAAGTCCCTTTCTGGTTCAGAATGATCATTGCATATTCATGACTGTGCATTTATTTCATTTCTGCTTAAAGAGTTGGCAGTGTGTTTGCATTTAAGGTTTTCCTCCAGTGACAAAGAAGGATGTGATTGATGGACTCAGGGTAGAAGGAATTCTTCACTGCCAAAAATGGGAAGTGTTTCTGAATGATAGCTAATCTACTTGGAAGAACAGCTCAGATTTAATGAGGGAACGGGGCTGCTACCGGCGAGTACCCAACAGGTTGGCAGTGAAATTTAACTTGTGGATTGCAGACTAATCACTACCCACTGTTTCCTCTCCCCACTCAGTGTTGGGGACCCTCCTCCCTCCTTATCCCTCTCCTGCTACCTGCCTCTGCCTGATCTCATTTGTCAGTTCAGTGGCCTCAGATGAGAGCATCACCTCATTTAGGAAGGATGGTGATCACCGTTCTAGACTGGAGATTAGGATACAAAGATTTGGGACAGTGGTTTTGAGAGAAGGAAGAAGAGAGAAAGCCAAACTGGGTTCATAGTCCTCCCCAAAACTGAAGGTGTGGAAGGAAGAGTTGATCCCTTCCCACCCTTTCCTGCATGGAACTCTCCTGCAGGTGAATGCTGAAGTCCAAGCAGCCAGCCTCTTCTGGATTAAAACTGAGAATGAACTTGACATACCCAAACACACAGGAATAGTGCTAGAAGCAGACTAGGAACTAAGAACCCTGGATTCTGTTCCTGCTCTTGCTAGCAGTTTTCTGTGCCACTCCGGTAGGGGCTGTGTTGTGTGGCTAGCCTCCTCTGCTGGAGGCATCCTGTTCCCCGGGGGTGAGCTGGGCAGTGGAGACAGAGGGGCGGTTGGGAAATGGTCAGCTTTTCATTCTCATGAGGCTGTCACTGAACAGCCAAGAAACAAATGACATTTCTGTTTGATCAACATTTCCTTAAAACTCTAGCGTCTTTTTATCTTAAAAAAAAAAAAAGCAATAGCAATGTGAGTTGGACTTGCAAAGTTAATTATGTAAACAAGACTACCTCAGTAGCATGCAGCCTTGGCAATAAGTCTCAGCTTGGCTTCCACCTCAGCGGCTGAGACGCTGAATTCATTGCATGGGACAGGAGGGCGGGGCGCGGTGGCTGTCAGGGCAGCACAGGCAGGCTGACCTGGGCATCTGTGGCTTGGACAGCTGGACAGCACTGTTTTTCTGGAGCTTGTGACCTTGGCTGGTGAGCTGCATTGGAGCTGCAGCAAGATCTTTTCTATCCCAGAAACTAAGCTGAGCATGAGTAAATGGATATGCATCATTTTAGATATATTTGTGAAGCAGGACACTGTACATGAGACTTTCAAATGGTGGCGAAGGAAAGGTTTGGGGATGGGCAAGAGTCACATAGGTTGGTGCATAGAGATAATAAAGGGCTCAATGAAAAGGAATGTGGTGTGAGAGGGAGGTCATTTATGGCTAATCCTCGGAATTTTCCTGCCATTGGAGCCTGGAGTCCTCTTGCAGTATTGGGACAAACAGCACAGGAGCTCAGTGTAATTAATCTGAAGGGGCCATGTAATACTTCAGTGAAGAGGGACAGTGTAGCTTGTGCTCACAAAAGCAAACTACTTCCAAACACTGAACAGTGTGTAAGCAGAAAGCCCAAGCCACAGTCTGTTGGTGCCACCCTAGGAATTTCCAAAGTCATTTCCAGCTCCCTTTCTCTGTTTTGACTTTCAGCTTACACCTTTCATGGACTCACTCATTCAACACATTTTTCTGACTGGCTCGCACAGGAGGCCTCCGCTTTGGATCATGCCCTGCGCCAGCAGTGTTGTGTAACTGGGGAGCCGGGGAGCAGACCAGTGTGCCTCTGGCATTTGCAAGTTTCCCTTTCCCTCTGTCCTCGCTGTTCCATACCTGCATTTTTTGGCAACAGATGCACCAACGATGAGAACATTTGAAGGTGCACATGTTGGGGGATAAGGATGATCTTTTCAGTACTTTCATGTAAGTGAGTTCAGCATCATTAATCCCCAGCGCAGGCCTGTTGCTGTGTCTGTTACAGCTGAGCTTTAAGTCCGGCCTCCCCGAGTGGGTGGCTGAAATGCCGCGGTGAATGAGAGCGACAGTTGAGTATAGTGCAGACCTTTCCCAGGCTCTCATGGCCTGTTCCTCATTCTTTAGAAATTGAAAGGGGCATTGGGTTTGTCTGGAAACCATGATAAAAAGTGTCTGTAGTAGGCCCTTCCTGGTGGTGCAGCAGGTTAAAGTGCAGCACTGCAAGCCAGCCGCAGCCACTTCAGGGTGAGTTCAGTCCCCAGCCCCAGGTCACCCACATGGCGCGGCAGACCTCTCCTGACCCGCCCGCTGCTCCCCTCAGCAGTGTACTTCGTCCATCTGCCTGTTCTGCTCCCCACTCTATCTCTGGTGAAACCTCTTATCACCCCTGGACCTCTGGCTTGTACCCTGGTTCTGTATGCATAAATAAGTAAATCTTAAAAAAAAAAAAAGATGTCTGTGTCTTCTCAATACTTTTAGAACCAGAATGTGTTATAAGATCTCTTTAGCAAGGTGTCTCTTTAGCATGATGCTTTCTTTCCAGTCATGTATATTGCTGCTTTTGTTAAGTATGTTTTAAGCACAGAGAAGCTCTTACTTCTTTATAGTACCAGGCAGAAGTGAATTAGATTCTTTTTCCATCCAAAGGACCCTTTACTGTGAAATGATTACCAATGGCTTTGGTGTGTTTTAAGGTGGCCCAGCACTACTGGAAGGAACCAGTCTTTAAAACTCTGTTCATTTGCTGAAAAAAAAGAGCTCAAGTTTACCACTGGACAGTACCCTTCAGACCGCTGCTCAGAGGTGGGGCTTGGTGCCACGTAGCTCCCTCCTGTTAAGCGAGGACGGGACCCACAGCCCCTCGCGGCACCACAGGCAGTGCTTGTTGTTCCTAGTGTCCTGTTGTTCTGAGGTGGGTTTTCCCAGCAGTAATTGGAACCTGGAGAATGACCTGGGCCTGCACCCAATCAATGCTCCTTCTGTGACACAAGCTATGCAACCTCTATCAACTGACATATTCCGGATAGAGACAGAAGTGCTTTGAAAAATCAGGGGACAAAGGGTCTCCGACACTTCTGTTCTTTAACTTAGGAAATGACACTTTTTTTTTAATGTTTATTGAGGTAATGTTGGCTTATGGCATTGCATTTGTTTCAGGGGTTATAAGTTCAAGCTTCATGGCATGTTTTCATACCATGCCCACCACCAGCGCCCCAAGAAAATGTACTGTTTATTGTCAGAAAAGGATGAGACAGCTGCAGGGGGCCCACTCATCAGGGTCCACAGTTACCTAGCCACGTGGAGCCATCCAGTAGAGGCCAGAGGTTACCTGCTGAAAGCAGGTCCCAAAACTCGAGGATGTCTAGGGGGTGGTATTTGGCTTCTGCAACCAGGACAGAGACACAGTCTTGGCCATAGTCCTCTGGAGAATGTCCCTGAGCGGGAAGGAAGGAAGGAGGGAGTGAGGAGGGCACAGTCTCCCACTTGCCAGGGATGTTACTGTGCAATAGGTGCCTCCCCCAGGACTCTGTGCACCTCCCTCCCAGCAATGATTAGCAGAAAACCCTAAAATCAGAGTGAAGAGCTGTGTCCTGTCCTGTGTGCAGAGTGGTGCTGATGACAGCTTTGTTTTGTGACCCTAGATCCCGAGGATGGCATGGTGACACAGGCATCTTCCCATGACTGGGAGCATCTTTACCTGCGGGTCCCGGCCCAGGCCAGTGGCATCGTGGCTGAAGGAACTTGTCTACTGCTTTCCCGAAAATCTCTTTCTCTCCTAATTCATGAGCCAGCAGGATGCAGTCGCTGCGCTTTCAGAACGCCTTCTCATAGCTGCATATAAAGGCCAAGCAGAGAATGTGGTTCAGCTCATCAACAAGGGCGCCAAGGTAGCGGTTACCAAGGTAACAAGAAGAAAGAATAAAATGCTTTAGCCATTCCCTGGGAAAAAGCCTACCTCTCAAGCATTGTCCCCGAAACTGTTGTTTGGTTCTTGGCTTTCAAAGAACTGGGTCCTCCCCCCCCACCCCCCCACCCCACCCCAAACCCCCAGTGGATAGAGGTTTGGGAAGAAGGAGGATTAAAAATGCTTTCATTTCTATCTTTCAAATGGAGTAACTTGTAATTAGCATTTGACAGTCTTTAAAATCACAATGTGGCTTTTTCTCACCTACTTCTTTAGCCAAAGTGAACAAGAGATCCTCTGAGAAGCTGGGACACAAAAGCTTCTCCAGTAGAGCACTTGCAGGATAATCGTGTTAGGCCTTGGGGAGGTGAGCCAGCTCATGCTGTGGGGCATTATCCCCTCTGTAGTGAGGGGCTTGAGCCAGATGACCTTCACAGCCTCCTGGGACTGATTTCACCTGGGCCAGTGACAGCATGAGGCGATGGTTGGAGGACACAGCTTACCCATCCCCACAGATAAGCAGAACACACTAGCTTTACAGTAAAGCTGAGAGAAGGCAGGTGCTGCGACAATTAATGGACAAATTTAAATACACTGATAAATGAATACTGATGGCAAACACTGGCGGAGTGTTCTGGATTGCTTCCAATGCTTTACTGTCACTTAGAAGCTGCTCTTTTCATCCCCATTTTAGAGATAAGGAAACTGAGGCATGGAGAGATTTAAGTGATGTACCCAGGGGCTCGCAGCTGCTAAGTGGCAGAAATGCAACCTGTTCCCAGTGAGTCTGACTCCAGGTCACACCGGATAGCAACCTGAGAGGGGCATTTAATTTTCAAATCATAACATCTGTTGAACTCTGTCCTCCTGTACAAAGATTGGTCTGCTCACATTTTCAGTTACTCATAGGTCATCTATATTTCATGCTTCTGATGTGTGCTTTTCCCAAAACTACCAGTTCAGTTTTGACTCTACCTGGTTACCTGGAGATAGCATCAGACATCCCAGGTTCTGGGCTCAATCCCACAGGATTGCCCCCTACTTCAGGTGCTAGTCACAAGGCCAGGCTGTCACATATACTTCTGACTGACTGGCTATACTGCAGATTGGAGGTTTGCCAATTAATTTGTTGGAGTGGTTTATAGAGGTCGGGGAAACATTTTATTCTCCAGATTGCCCATTTATTATAAAAGGACATAACTCGGGAACCACCAGATGGAAGCAAATACACTGGGTAAGGTATGGAAAAGGGGCATGGAGCTCCCAGGCCCCCTCTGAGTATGTCAGTCTCCCAGAATCTCCATGTATTCACCAACCTGGAAGTGTTACAGAGGAACCCTGGGGACCTGGGGTTATGACTCCTCACAGGTGCACTTAAGAACTCAGGATGAGATCCAAAAGCAGACAAGCAGAGAGAAATTTAAAAAGATTTATTTACAAGGGGAGTGTGAAGAAGGAACAGATAGAAGACAAATTTGCCAGTACATCCTAGCAGCAATATCACTTGAACTGAGGCATCAGGTTGCTAGGCAAAGCTGGAAAAGCAAGAGAGTGAGAGCATGCACGGTTCAGTTTTAAGCCCAGCATGGCTGCTTAACTCCGCCCCCAGTTTCCAGGAAGTTCAGGACCTCAGGTTCATGGCATGCTGGGAGTTGGAGTCCAAGGCTTCTGAGAACTGGGGAGTCTGTTCAGGACATCATTCATGACTTGGTGTTTGCGCCTCAATGCTCCTGTAACAGAAGTTCTTAGGTTTTTAATGGAGGTTTTGTTACAAAGACATGATTGATTAAACCATGGGTCATTGGCAACTGATTCAACCTCACTACCCTGGAGGTGAGGGATAGGACTGAAAGTTCCATCCCTCTACTCAGGGTTGGTTTCCTGGCAACCAGCCCTTCCTAAGGGATTTTCTCAAAGTCCCAATTAACATAAACTCAGATGTGGTTGAACCAAGTTTGTTCTGCATCACACACTTCTTTTACCTTCTGGCTGGGGAGCTATTTCAGGAACTGATGGCAAAAGACCAAATAGTAGAACAAAATATACTTCAGTTATTCTTATCTCTTAGGAAATTCCAAAGCTTTTAGATCTATGAGCCAGAAATGGGGGGGTAACCAGGTATATATTTCTCTTTATAAATCACAATAACACAATGTTGGCTTCTATAAAAATAGAAAATCTTGGGCTACTCAGAGGTTACCACTCATTGACCTAGCAGTACTCATTGTACTGAACTGAGGGGTGGAAGAATCCTTACCTCAGGCCTTGACCAGTCTTGGGCAGTCACAACTGGAGAAAGTGCATGAACTCTGGAGTTACAGTCCATGCTCACTCAACCTTTGCTGTATTTGCTAATTGTGCATGTTGCTTTTCTTCTCTGGGAAAGGGGGATAATAATGCCAGTCTTTTAAATTGTTAAAGCACTTATCTTGTAGTCTGGAGTTTTCTTTTTTAATAGACTTTATCATCTGCTTTTTTCAAGCAGTTTCTTTCTTTTCTTTCTTTCTTTTTTTTTTTTTAAGATTTGCTTATTTATGCATACAGAACTGGGATACAGGCCAGAAGCATATGTGGGGGGAGGGTAGTGAAAAGGATTCATCAAAGACAGAATGGCAGAATGGGGAGCAGAACAGGCAGATATATTGAAAGATACTGCTGAGGGAAACAGCAAAGGGTCAGCCTATGTGGGTCAGCTCCCTGGCCAGGGATCTAGCTGTGGTGGCTGTGGATAGCTTCATAGTGCTGTACTTTTGTTACAGGGCAGGGAGAGAGACGGGCACCACTGACCACCCAAACCTGCCTGCTCTAAATAGTTTCTGCCATCCACTGCATCAAGATAAAACATGTAAGACTTTAATGAAAAGTGACTTTAATACAGTGAATATACAATATGGAAGACAAGGAATATAATTTCTAAATCAAACACCTGAAGTTACCCATCCCCTTGTGGGCAAAAGTCAACCCACAAGGGATTGGTCCAAAGCAAGGCCTGAAAGCTGCCACAAGACTAAAGCACCTTCTGGCCAGGACCCATAGAAAAGGGTCAGATATGGCCAGACAAATCAAAGTCAATATAAACACTGCCACAGTCAACCTCCCCATGGGTGTCACCTACACCTGTTTCCCCCAGTCCAGGGCCAAGAAATAACCACTGTTTCTTCACATGTCTCCCTTTGCTCCCTGTGATTTCCTCAGGACTCCTTCTGGCTCTCCATTCTGCTTCCTCCTTCAGATTCCTTCTTTTCTCTCCTTTACTCTGCTAAGCTCCACTCTTCTTCTGGGTGGGGCAGGGAACCTGGAACTAACCCTTTTCCTGGGGACTACCCTGTTACACTTTAACCAGCTGTGCCATCACGGAGGGCCAATGTTCTGTTGTCTTTGAGCGGTGTTGCTGTTGAGAAACCCACCTTGTAGATTCTTCTTTGCAACTGCCTCCCCAAAGTCCTGTTGCACCTCCCCTCCCCTGGAAGTCCTGTCCAGTCAGAACTGGGCTCAGGATCCAAGACCACCATGAAGACCACCCAGCAAATGGCAGTCTGTGTGGCTCATTGGGTCCTATTTGCTGATTGTGCACATCTGGGAACTCTGATAGCCTTTCTGCTCCATTCACACTTTGTTCCACATTTTTTGGCTAAAAAATGATCATCCACCTAAATGTAGAAACTACAACTTCTAGAAGAAAACAGGACAAAATCTTTTGTTCTAACTCAATTGCTAATTTTATGTTTTGCCTTGGCTACAATACCCTGCTATTTGGTCAAACATTATTCTTGGTGTTTTGATCAAGGTATTTTTAGATGAGATTAACATTTAAGTCAGTGAACTTTTTCCCCCTCAACACCATTTCTTTCCGTTGATGTATCAGTGAATCCTGAGCAGGCAGGCTACCCTCCACAGTGTGGCTAGCCCTCATCCAGACCTTGAGAAAAAAAAAACTGAGGAATAGAGGATTTTGCTCTCAGACTGCCTTTGGCCTCCAGCTTAAACATCAGTTCTTCCATGACTCCAGCATGCCAGCCTACCCCACAGTTCAGGCTTGACAGCCTCCACAGTTTACATAAGCCAATTTGTAAATCTAAGCCCCAAGCCCCACTACCATGTCTGAATAAACAAATTGAGGAATGCTATTCAGCAATGAAAAGCAACAAGGTTCTAATGAAGGACATGAATGAGTCTCATGAGGATATGAAGTTAGGCATGAGGCCATGAGGAACATGATGCCCTTTATATGACATTCTAGGGGAAGTCAAATTCTAGGAACATAAAATGGATGAGTGGTTACTGAGAGTAGGGTTTGGTGGAAAGGGATACACTGAAAAGAAGCAGGAGAAATTTTTGGAGGGTGTTGAAAGTCTTTTATATTATACTTTTGGTGTTGCTTAAACGATTGTATACACTTTTACAGATACACCAAATGAAATACTTTAAATGGGTGAATTTTATTAAATGCAAATTATATTTCTAGAAACTTGATTAAAACATAGTTGTGCTAAATATAATAATTGTTATAGATAAGGAAATAAACTTAAGAAGGTGCAATAACTTTGCTTTGGTTATTTACAGGTTGTTTGTAGCTTTGGGGGAATTTTCTCATCATGTTGTCTCTCCATACTAGCCAATCACCATGCTCCATTTAATACAAAGTAAACCTGGGCTTTTCTAGTGTCCTAGGGATTAAGTCTCAGAGCTATTACCACTATGGCCTGAGTTTGATCCCTGGCCAGGGAGGTGACCCACATAGCGCAGCAGACTTCTTCTGACCCGCCTGCTGCTCCCCTCAGCAGTGTACTTCATCAGTCAGCCTGTTCTGCTCCCCACTCTGTCTCTGGTGGAAACTTCCTCTCCCCTATACAACTCTGGCTTACACCCAGTTCTAGACACACACACACACACACACACACACACACACACACACACACATCGCACACACATGGAACAAAACAATAATAATATAAACTAAAACTTTAAAAAGAGAAATACAAAGGGCTTGATTATAGT